CGGTCTCGGGTTTTGCCTAGAAACAAAAAGAGTGACCAATTGGGGTAAGGGAGAGGGTGAACGGGACCAATCAAGAGGATGAGATTTGGGGAAAATCCTATAAATCCCCCGGGTCTCAAGGTCAAAGGGTGGATTGGCAGCCGAGTCTCAAGTATCCAGGATTGGCATCGGACCCAAGTATCCAGGACGCCACCACATCTGAGCTCTGTCGCATCCCTGGAGGAAGGAGACAAGATCTTGTGCGCCGGAATCACCGGACATTGTATGCAAGATCACCAGTCTACCTCGTTCAAGCCCCGGGGCATCTCCACAGCAGAGCACCAGACGTCCAGCTTATTAATTTTTGTCATACCTATTGTGTAAGTTAATCTATTGTCAAAATAAACAGTTTTCGTGTAAGACACTTGTCATCTTTGTCTCCTAGCGCCACCACCCACATGCGGTTTGACCCTAGGTTTTCCTGACGCACAATTAACGTATTGCCCCCAAATTCAGCAAACTTACAAATGTTAAATTTTTAAAATATGTTCAAATTCAGTTACACCTGAAGATGGTCTATTCTATTAGGTTGAAAACGTTAGTGTTTCATTAATAAAACATTTCTCAGCAACAGAAAGTGTTTGATGATTCATTAAGTGTTTAAAAAACTGAGTTTGATATTTGGTTACAAATATTAACATCAAACCAATAAAGAAAATATTTATTAGAGACAGTTATGTACTTAATTATAGCTTTTGTCATGTCCATGGGAAGGCTTTTGACTAAAATAAAGAAAAAAAAGTCTACACAGTTAGTAAATCATCAATCCTTAATTCTCAAGGATTGTTGTTTGTCTTTACAAACTCACAAATTTATCCAATATGGGGCTCAACTTAGTTCCTAAAATGCTCATTCGTTTGATTTGTTATCTGCTTTTTTTATTTCTTCTCCAATAAATATCTCCTCTCCTCTCTAATGCTTAGTAATGATGGCAAGAACTACAGATTTAATTGTAAAACATCAGAAATTATTGGAAGAAAATATTGACAATTCAGAATCATTTGCAGATTGGAAGGAATCATCATTAAACTTAATACTACTATCCAGTTTATAAAACCCAGGAAATTGTGTAGAACATTTTACAAAAAAAAAGGAAGGTTATTGAAAATTAAATTTACTATCTGAAATAATTTTTGTTTGATTCTTAAAAATTTTATTCTGATAGCATTTGTCCAGAAAGTGATGTTAACTGATGGTTTGTCTTTCTGTTAGTTTGAAATCCCTAAATTTCAAATAAAATGAAATTAAATTTAAAACTCATTTATCTAATTTATATTTAAATTTCCTATTATGTGTAAACATCCATGATGATGAATTGAAAAGTTTGTAAGTATTCAGGGCGTGTAATTAATTTGATTTTCCAATACTAGAAAATTAAATAGAATTTTCTAGTATTGGAAAGTTGTTAACTATCCAGAATTACCTGATGATTTTTAATTCAATGTAGTAGAATTGATTGTTTCATATTTCTTTAAACAGATATTTTTCTACCAAATTATCTGAAAATTATAATAATTGTATCTTTAGTATTGGAAAAAGTGTATGATAAATAAATTTAAATCTCACTCAATGTTTCTACTTGAACATTGAAATTAACCCAATTTGAAAAATTCTCATAATCCCAATAAAAAATTGGAAAACCTAAAATTAAATACAAATTTTCTAGTTATCAAATACAAATTGGTGAAGACTTAAATTGTTAAAAAGCATAATAGTATAAATGGATGACCAGCAAAACAAAAATTTTAAGTATTTTTACCAGAAAGCATTCAATAGAAGTTAGCTGATATATTTGTTAAACATGAATAAATGAAAAATTTTAAATTTGTGTACAAAGAAATGATAAATAGAAGAGCATGGCAATAACAATAATGCTCCTATTAGAATTTGCAGATGGTTGGTGAAAGAAATCAAAAATTATTTTTTTAATAGTATTCTGAGGTTTTTTATTTATTTAATTACATTTAAACTAATTTATATGTTACTTTAAAAACTGAACTATAGATGTCAAATTTTTCTTATATATAGAAAAATTTTTCCTTATATTTACAATTATTTAAGAATGTGAATTTTTTATATTAATATATAGAATTATGGTGTTAAAGATTTGCAAATTAAGATATTTGAAGGTACAGCACATCAATTGCATATTTTTTTAAATATGACTTGAGTACTGAAAGTGTTTTAGTTTATGGATAATATTAACAGATAAATCTGTAAGGTAAAAATAAATATTTTAAAGAAGGTATTTTATCTCTGAAAATTGAGAAAAAATAATAATGATCTATTAATTTCCCACCAATATTTTGAATTTTTATTTCACTTAAATTTGATCATAGAATTATAAGTGAGATAAAGGAATCAATTTTCAAAATCAGATGTTTTCTGTATTATCTTTATATNTTTTGTGTTTTAAATGGCTTTAAGATTTGAGAATCTTTCTCTAGAATAGTAGTGTTGGATTTGCATATTTATACTGCTAAGATTACTAAAATATTATTTGGTAATTTATTTAAAAGATCTAATAGATTAAATTTCCATTTTAAATTAATAGAAAACATTTTAATAAAACAGAGATGTCATTTTTTATGTTTTATGTAAATAAGATTTAATAACTTTTTCCAGTTGGTATTTTAATATTTTGCTCCCGAACTGGGGTTCCTAACCTTTTTTGTTCCATAGACCTCTTTGCCAGTCAGGTGAAGGCCATGGATCCCTTCTCAGAAAAATATTTTTAAATGCAAAACATAAAATTTGAAGGAATACAGTTTTCTTGAAATACAGCAACTAAAATAAAAAAACAATGATTTTTTTCTTCACACATTAAATAATAATAATAATAATATAATATAGTTAAAATACAGGAAAGCTAAAGTTTTGTTTATTTTTAATCAGAACATCAAACTGTGGTGTGGTGTATTTAACAAGGCAACACACTTCATGTTGGACATTAATTGATTTTGACTTTTTGTTTTCATTGTAACAAGTGTTAAAATCCTGATTCTCAAAGATGGATTGTTGCAAATGGAAGCAAAGCTTCCATAATTCATTTTACAAGACAAGGATAGGCTTTTTTTAGGGAACACTCAGAATTCTCCAAAGCTTTTTGAGTTAAACTCCAACAGAAATAAGTTTTTTGTCTTAAGATCAATAAGCTTATTTTTGGTTAAGTCAGCATTTTTGATAGTTTATATCAGAAAGAAAAGGATTATGGATCCATGGTTCAATTTTCATGCCAATTTTAGAGAAATGCAACAACTATACCATGATATAAAAATAGCTGTTATTTTTATTGGTGACCACATATACAGCTAATACTACTGTCATTTATTGCATAAATTCATAACTGAAGGAAATGTTAGATTTAAGTAAGAGGTTAGGGAGAATAAAGATAATGAGTTAATTTTTCCAATCTAAGCTCATGGACCATGTAAAATCTTATCATGGAACCCTGGTAAGAACCACTGCTCTAGAAAGTATTGTTTACTTATATTGAATAGCTGGAAGATCATACCTAGTTTCAACTAAGAATTAAGAGGTGGACAGAAAGTAAATGGATTAAGTTTTGCAACTTATACTGTAATTCTTGTGTAACAGAACAATTCTTACAGCCATTCTTCAGCTAATAACTATTGTGAAGATGTACTAGTTATTTGCTGGTTTTGTTGCTATGTTATGTATTTGAACAAATGTTTTTATATGCATGGTCTATGAGAGATTTTTCAGAGGTGGATGCAACTTTTTGGCTGATAAGTCTCTAAATCTGGCAGAAGGAATGGTTGTTTTTGGCAGGGACATTTTGTTGTATTTTGCCAAAAAGTACTCAATACCATGTGCTTGTGGGACATTTGGAGGGTGGTTTTATTGGATGTGTATTCAATGCATTTGCTGTCTAAGAAGGCAGTTACAATTTTCATATAATGCAGTGTAACTAAATCTGACCAGATGATAATGATACTCCTGGAATAGTGTTTATCAATTAAGGGAGGTAGTCATTTTTCAGACATTCCTCCATATAAATCTGAGCAGTAATGGTATGTTGCAAACAAAAGCATCTGAAATGTTCCCAGAGGTGTCCAAATGAGGCATTTTGTGTAGAATTTTTCTTTAGGTTGGACTTTTCTTTGTAAGCAGTATCCTGAGGATTCATAGCATGGCAATATTACTTTGGATGTTTCTAGGGTCAAATGGGCAATAAGTCTTGTCATCAATAATGAGATACTTCCTCAGACTTATTTCATAAGCTTTTTTGCAGCTTCTTTTTGCTCTTTCCACTTGTACTTTATATATTTTGGTGCAGTTTGCTTATGTCCCTTGATCCTCAATTTCTTGACTTTATCATGTAAAATTGTCTTTGGTAATGATAATTTTGATGATACAATTCTGATAGAAATTGATGGAGCCTGTTGATACAATTTTTTACTCAGTTCACAACTTTCAGAGTGGATTGAAAGATGGAGCAACCAGGAAATGGATTGTAATTGTCTTGTCCCATTTCTTCATACCTTTACAAAATGGCATACAAAGTGCTTTTTCTCATACCTTGTTCCATAAAATGGGCAATAATTTTCTTCTTACTGTGTCCTGATGTATTTTCATTGTACTGAATGACACTTTTGTCAAGGAGCTTGTTCGCTCATCTTTTTCCCATGTTGTTTCATTGGCAAAATAGAACTTTTATTTTGTATGAGACAAAACATGTCACAGCATAAATCAATTATCTTCACTTGCATGTGCATTTCTGAATTACACAAGAGGCCTAGAATTACTTTTGTCCATATGTCATCCACGTCTTAATTCAATTATGCTATTGTTAATAAAGACATTTGTTTTAAAGCCATTTATTTCATAAATAGTTTTATGTTTTAACAAATATATTTCTTTTACATTATTAAAAGTTTCTTAGTTTATTCTTTGTTTAGGATGACTTTTAAAAGATGTTACTAAACATTATTTTTCAGGATGTTGAAAAAGGTAAATTTGTCAATACTGATCATTATGTTGTTCATTGCCCTGTTGGTTCCGATGGTAAAATGTTCCTCATGATAACTACAAAGTATGTACAATTAATTATCTTTTTAACATTTATTGGTTTATATTTTAATTATATATGTTTTGATATTCTAATTTACTGAATATTTGAAATAAGAATGTATACTAGAGATATCTCTAGTATACATTCTTCAATAGAGATCTATTAAAATTTACATACCAGATTATCGTAATGTGGAAAGACCAAATTATATTAAAAGCTGTTAGTGTAATTACTACAATTATTATAACGTAATGCAATTATTACCATATCATTTTAAGGTAAATATAATAATGGGAAAATACTTCCAATTTTTTAGAAATGGTTCTGCCAGAAGGATCTGGAATATATTCATTTTAACTATGTATTTAAGTTGGAAAAACAGTATGTTTTGGATGATATTTACAGCAGTGAATAATAATTTGTTTTGTTTAATTTAGTGATTTAGGTTTTTTTTTCCATGCTCTATTAGATATTTACATTTACATAAGTTTTAATTTTTTTTTGTTTTATATTTAGAAGAAATATTATAATATACTTTATAATAATAATAATAATAATAATAATGCAATAAAAGTGCTTTTAATACATTGTTTATCTTAAAATATGATTTAACATACACTTATACATACAAAGTTAACGTGAAAAGTAGGGTTTCTCATTTCCCGGTCTTTTGCTTGTCCCGGGATCCCGGGATAAAAGTGAACTGTTTCCCGGGATAGAATTAATTATTTTTAAGGTATACAAAATATCTTGAAATCAAATGATATAATTATTTTCCATTTTTTAAAGTAATTTTAAAGTTCTGTAACCTCCAAAATCATATTAATAATGCTGTGTA